GCTCCCGGCTGGCCGTTGCCACCGTCCGCGCAGCCATCCTTGCTTGGGTCGTTCATCTCATCCAAGGTCTCACGGAGTTTGGAGCCAGCCGACATGTAGAGGTCACCGTTCAGCGGAGAGAACTCCTCGTCCTGGATGGCGTTGTGTGCCCAGGGGTAGTTGGCGCACTGCTCCTTCTCGACCTGCTCAGCAGAGTCCCAAGTCAGTGTGAGGCCGCTGGTGGTGTGCTCGTAGATGGACACACCACGGCCACCGAAGGCGACGATGTGCTCGATCACCGGAGCCGAAGGGGTCGCGTAGTTGATGGCCGCCGAGCCAACGGTGATCCTGAGGGGCAGAATTAATGGCAAAGCATCGAACATGTTCCTGCTTGAAGCTTGTCGCTGCCTGTCCTGAGGCCATCCCCAACCTTGCTGATCTCCACGGCAGTGCTGGCCGCGCTTGCGCTCACGTTCATGCCCACCATGTCTGAATCCACAGAGCCATCAGAGTTCACCACATCCTTTGCGAAAAATAAGCGTCCAAAAGCCCACCCGCAACCTCCCTCCTACCCGGCCTTCAGCTTCATCTTCTCCTCGAAGTCGCCATAGCCCTTAGCAAGGTGCAAGCGAGACGGAGACTTTGCTATGCAGCAACCCTGACCCAGCCTTGTCATCGCCCTCGTTGGCAGTGAGGACGTAGGTCTTGCCATCTACTTGGACAGCCTGGATGGCATCCGGCTGGCGCAGGGTCATCAGGCCAGCATACCTGAGCGTCTGAGCGCCGCGCGATGTCAAACGACATAGGCCGGGCGCATGAGGGTGCCACAAAGTATTGCCGAGTGGCGTGGCTTGGGTGCAGGCCTTATCTCCCTTGTTGATGTCGATGGGGACAGTGCCGTGGTCCTCCAATGCACGCATCCTGCTATCCTGCTGCCTATCTTGTTACAGCCCGGCGCCTTCATCCCAAGCCCCGAAATGGTGCTCAGCGTGGGGCTTCCGGAAGCTGGCACCTTGGCGGACGCTCTTCGTGCGTCAAAGCCGCTCGCTTGTCTGTTTGAAGACTGCTGCTATGGAACCATGCCCGCTATGGGCCGTTTAAACTTGAATTATGGCACTTGGATTCTTAGGGGTGCGTTGGCCAGTACGCTAACCCTAAGGGTCCAAGTACCCAAGGGTCCAAGTATCCAATAATCATATACGTACCCAAAATCTGCACTATAATTAACCCAAATCCCAAGCGCCCAGTTATTGGGCAATTACATGGACCTTCAGGGTAAGGGACCCAAATAATAGGGTTTTAGGCCCCAACTACCATTGATATTATAGTATCTGGGCCCTATAGCCATGTTGTTTGGGTCCTGGCACCCGTAGGGTAAGGGACCCTCAGGGTAAAGCAAATCCTCATGAGCTGAGGTGCAAGGCTCCTCTTAGCTTCCAAATATGCCCAGAAGGTCCAAACCCTAAGGGTCCATGTACCCAATAATTAGGTACTTGGGATTCGGGTAATAGTTATTCTGGTACAATTTTTGGAAAGTATGATTATTGGGTACTGGGACCTTAGGGAAAGTTCTCAACCACTCTACATTTCGGCTCTTATGTAGCTTTTAATCCCAAACATGGACCCACCAAAATAGTAGAATTGTTATTGTTACAAGGATCCCAAAGAGGGACCGCTGACTTTTGGTAGCCCTAGAGCCCGTATACTTAGGGTTTAGGGAGTAGAACCTTACAATATCCCATATGTTCCCAAGAGGCCCCGATTCAAGGAACCCCTGATTTTTGTAACTCCCATACGAGTACCTGAGCCTTACAACCTAAACTTCCTAAAGCCTACAAGCCCGAAACCCATCGAAACCCTAAACTGCGATCTCTAATCCTAGATATCCGGACCTGCAGCGATGTTCCCCAACCCTTCCTCTAGTTGCCAAGGAATGCACGAATGGATCATTGCATTATAGTCCCTAATTTCTTTTCAGCTGCTCTACATACATCTAACTGTTCATGTCACGTTCCATGTGATTCTCTTGTGTAGAAATTTCCATTTCCTTGACCACTCCTTCATTCCCTACCCCAAGGGTACGAGTATTTAATAATCATATGCTTACCCGAAATCCGTACTATAATTGTTATTACCTATGAAAGTACCTTTTTTGTATTGGGTACATGGACCCTCAGGGTAAGCCCTTAAGCCCAAACAATAGTTTCCATTGTCTTGTCCCTTCCCTCGGTTCCGTCTTACCAGAAAGCTACAGTACATGGTTTAGGGTTTAGGGTCTAGGGCTTAGGGTTTGACAGCTATATAACCCCAGCTTGAAATCCATTATCCATGCATTTCCCCGTTGATTCTCCATTATTGAATGCAGCCCCTACGGAACCCTTATATAACCCCCCTGCGTAACCCCCTAAATCCTGAACCCTTGAACCAAAAAACTAAACCCTGGACCCTCAACCCTGGACCCTGAACCAAAAACCCTCTAACCAGACAATGGCGCGCTAATAACAGCCACGGCATTGTTCTCCTGGGTTGCTGTTCAGGAGCTTACATATGCGGTTTAGGGTTCAGGGTTTAGGGGCTCAATAAAAAAAAGGTTCCCATGAAGGAAGTTACAGGGCGGCTCTTTGGATATTATAGGGATGTATGGAGCTTTGGGCCGCTGACATTCAGTTGCTGCAATATGGGCTTCATTCAAAAAACGTTGTTTGAGGTTTGGAATGAACTATGAAAATCCTTCGATACTGAAAAATCAGCTGTGATTTTACATGGGTCCTGTGAGTAACCATGATATGGAATTGTAGTAAAGGACAAAACTCCCGCACAATGGTAACTTGATTTATGTTCGTCCTCAATAGTAATCCAGATCCCCCAAAGGATCCAACAACAAAGACACCCACCAAGCAAACAACAAACAGCCCCATTACTACATCGGCGAAACTCGGGGGATTCTTGGGAGGTTCCAATTTATGGATTCCTGAGCTAAACCCCATAATCCATAAACCCGCCCACCTACGACGATGGTGGCGCGCCTATGCCTTTTGAATCCTTTAGCCAGACCGACAGACCTGAACCTGCCTCAGCACAGCCACGGGTACGGTAGCACCCACGATAGGCCTGGTACCGGACCCCGTTCTGCATGGGACCAGTACTGGTCCCTTTTAGGGTTTCGGTGTTCAAAAGCCTCGCAGGGGCCTTCCAAATGCTTCTGCACCCTGCCTTCCAGTCCTACTAAAATCTTGGCTCGATGATGGAATAGCAAGAAGTACTGCTTGTAGGAATGTTGGTTGTTGTGGACATTTGTGGACCAAGAACTGAGTTTAGGTCCTGAACCCTAAAAGGAACAGGTTTGGGTGGTTTGGCCGCCTGGGACGGCGTGGGGTGAGTGGGGTGGGTGAGTGCGTTACATGGCCAGCCGCAGTCAGGCCAAAGCAGCATGTTGCACAGCACGACACGTTCGAAGTGACCCTGTGGCATGATCATCTCTGCTTCAGCGCTATATCACCCTAAACCCTAAGCCCTGAACTCTAAACCCCAAACCCTGAACCCTGAACCCGCAACTCTAAACCCTAAAGCCTAAACCCCAAACCCTAAACCCAATAAACCCTATACACCCTAGCGACCCAGTATCCTGCAGGTTCACGAACAGCGTGGAGTCATCTGCGGACCAGGAAAGATACTCGGGCTCAAGGTTCCTCCGAATGCTGCGCGCTCATAGGGTTTACAATAATGGAGAATCAAATGGAAAAGAAAATGGAAAATGAAATGGAAACTGGGATTATATAGGGGTTATTTGAGTAGTATTTACTGTTGAGGGTTGAGGGTTTTGGGGTCTTAGGATTGAGCGCTTAGGGTTTTTAGGGTTCAGGGTTTACGGCTTAGGGTTGGGGGTCTTAGGGTTGAGGGTTTGGGGTTCCACGAAGGGTCCAGGACACAGATGTGGAATAGTACACATCCCAGAATATCCAGATATATCGCCATTATGGGTCTCAACCCCCCAAAACCGGTACGACACAAGGAATCATGGTTCCTGATTCCCGAATAATTGTACATGCGGACCCTCTTTGCATGCACTGGAAATGAAATCCGGAAATTGGGCGATGCTCCTTATGACCCTAGGACCATATAAGACCTCCCTGTAGCCTGAGTTACCTACAGCTTTATGGGTAATACCTTAGGAGGACCCTCCACCCTGGGATGACCCTAAACTACTCAGCATTATCCCTTCATAGTCACTATTACTGGGTGGGGGGTCCACCTAAGGTGTTACCCATAGACCCTCCATCCTGTAATAGTGGTATAATCATATGAAAGGACCTTAAAGTGATCACCACTATCCGTTGATGGTCACTAGTACTGGGCGGGGGGTCCACCTAAGTGATACCTACTACTTACGGGGTAATTACTACAAAGCGGTCAATAATTTGGCAAAGAGGTAGGAGCAGAAAGATCAAACTCCTAAGGAGGAAAAGTCCTCACCGACAAACCACAAAATACAACCTTCTGGAGAACGATAGCTATCTCCACCCTAAACCCTAAACCCTAAATCATATACCCTAAACCCCTTAAACACTAAACCCTCATCCTCCATGCATTTAGCTCTGTCAAGGCAACTGTCTGGTCTGGCAGTCTTTGCTTTCCGGCATCCCAATGTTGGAATGTTGGGATTTCCCTAAGGGTCTATGTACCCAATAATTAGGTACTTGGGTTTTGGGTAATAGTAATTATAGTATATGATTATTGGGTACTTGGACCCTTAGGGTTTTGGGGATATGCTGACTATCCCCAGGGTCCCTCGAATATAATTACAGAGCCCTGTTTTCCTGAACCTCACCATAATCAAATCTGTTCCAAGGGACCTGTATTTTCAAAAGATGCACAGAGGAGTTTGCAGTTTTGCGAGAAAAGTTCAAACTGAGGGGGGATAGGACGGTTCGCCCTTGTCCGGAGAGTCAGAATCCATGAGTGATGCAAGTGAGCTATAGTCTAAACTCCTAGTATCCCCTTCAATAAGCCCTATCAGAAAATCATACTCTGATATAATCCAGTTGAGGGGCTGAATAGCTTCAGAACCGCAGACTTCTGCGGGGCCACAGGAGCTGAACGTGCTTAAAACAATCCCTAAGGGTCCAAGGACCCAAATAATAGGGTTTTAGGGCCCAAGTACTATAATACCAGCAGCATTTTGGCCCGAACCCCCTATTGTTTGGGTCCTTGCACCCTTAGGGAATAATTAGTTTAGTTCCTGATTTTGGGAGTCGTTGTTGTCAGGGGAGCGGGTTTATTGTGACAAACAAGACTTGCAGTTTTACCCCAAGACTCCTGTTCACTACACTATACTCAGGTGCGCAAACAGGTAATACTATTCGGTAGAGTGGCCGTATATCTCCAGCTCTGGGGGCTCAGCAACACTGAGGAGTTGCGGACCCACAGTATCTGCAGGCGAGTGTCATGGCCGAAGTGTAAGCTGCCCGGGCAGCGCTGAAGTTCAGACTATCCTTCCAATTGGAGTGGTCGTCGAAATACCTGGCATTGCTCTGCTACGGAAGTTGATGGTGCATGAGAATCCCTTCGAGCAGGTCCCAACTGACATGTTGAGTGGGTGAAACCAGGGTTGATGCTTGGCCAAGCGCAAGGGTCCAGGATTAGCCTCCTTTATCCTCTTTCCATACCATGGTAGAGCTGTTTGCATGGTCCCTGGCCATATACAGCAGCTTATAACATCAGCCCAAGGAG